AACAGTGTAATAATGCAACTGATAAATGATTTAAATTTATATAATTAAGATATATATATATATATATATATATATATATTTAATATATAACTATTAAAAACATATTTAATATATAACTATTAAAACATATTTAATATATAACTATTAAAAACAATTAAAACCAAAGAAAAGATTACCATTAAATAAAATAGGTCGGGTCTTCATTGATTAAAATGTGACGAATTAACGATAATTGAAAACAATTCTAATTTTAATTTCAATCATTTACGCGAGCACGGAATTTACGCGACTACGCACGCGCGCAAATATTCGATTACATATGAATTCTTATACGCTGTCCATACTAAGTGATGTTAATTATAAAATATAATTGTAAACCCAATTAAGTGTGTGAAATTAATATGCAATGTACGTAACAAATATAATGTACGTAACACATATACTTTGCATGTGTTCATCGGGAAGATTATGAAACAAAATGGACGGTGTGTACCACGTGACTTTCGTAAACCAAGGTGCGGAATGTCGCAACTCTTTATATATATGGCTCTGACTACGGCCAGAGCCATAGATAGAAAGAGTTGCGACATTGAGAATTTAGAAGCCATTTTGTGTCATACGCGATGCGCGTTCTGTATCTAACGTGATGTGCGCTCCTGTGTATAATATTGTATAATACAGTTAGCGGCCTCCTGTATAGTTTAATTCCATTTAATCTTTTTAGCAGTCGCTTTTTATGTAACTATTTTTATAGATTTTTTTAAATGATTTCACTACTTTATATCCGATTTCATATTATAAATACTGTAATAATTTACTATTTTTGAGCAGTCCTTTAATCCTCGCCGATAGACCGAGAGAGCCATTCGATGGCAAGCATTCTTCAATTAGGCAATCCTGCCATAATAGACCCTTAAGTAGCTCCTGTTATTTTTGCAAATAAATGATATGTAAGACCAGCACAAATTAATTAAATATGTATATCAAAATGCAAATAAAATCCGTATATAGGGTAAATAGATTGTTGATCTTTAAATTAGAATATGAGCGAGCCCTATACAAATCTTATGTTATTAATTTGATTATTATTATTTATAAGTATTAAAATAGTATAGGTCAGTTGGCCGCAATATATAAATTGTGCTTTGCTGTAAATGTTATAAATTGTAAGTGTTAAATGATATACAGGATCTGTGATATATTCAACTTGTGTAATTATGTAACGTACATTTTATTGTATTAGAAGTCTCGCCTCTATTTTAATATTGTATTATGGCTGCAGTACAGTACAGTATGTTACTTTAATAAACACACTGCAAGAGCGTGTCCGCTGTTTTAAAAGCGTTGTTTCCAAAATAAAGTTATACTAATTATATAATAGTATGCAATAGAAACAACAAATCATTTTTAAGATTATTAAACATACCGGTAACCTTTATTTTCATTGTCATTCGTATTTATACAGGCTGTACAAAGATTTGAAATTAAGAAGAACCATTTTCTAATATTGTTTAGCGAACAACATTTAAAGATCGTCAGAAAAGGGCGGAAAATAATTAATTGTTTTTCTTATTTAGCTTAAATATTTTTCCGAACGCATCTAGGCTATTAAAATCAATTTAAACCAAAGAAAAAATTACCATTAAATAAAATAGGTCGGGTCTTCATTGATTAAAATGTGACGAATTAACGATAATTGAAAACAATTCTAATTTTAATTTCAATCATTTACGCGAGCACGGAATTTACGCGAGCACGCACGCGCGAAAAT